CCATTAAATATTACTCTTATTACATATCACAGCCATTTCTTCATAAACCATTGCCTATTTTTTCTTTGATGTTGGAAGGACAAGGCTATTAATGTCTAAAACAAGACATACGATCTGGTTCGTTGCTAAATGAGTTGACTGAGGGATCTACAGTCACTGACTAGTGTACAATACAAAAAGTATTTGACAAGTGTCAAGGTGAAACCAACACCTCCAACCATCAAATGATATAACGGTCCAAATAAATTAAATCTGGGCTACACTTTTCAAATATTGTCTGAGATGTGTTCATGTAAGTGATCAGGCTGGAGCATTAAGAAAGTGCAAAGAAAACATGAACTTAATGTCCTAGGATATTAATCCTTTTGTCATGCAGAAAATGCCACTGAAGGCAAACACCCTACATAGCTCCCCCCTTTGATTTTCACTACTTCAGGTGAAGAATACATTCATCAATTTATCAAGCAAACAAAGAAAGCAGATTTTGTACTAGGTCACACCACATAAAGAAAACTTGTATCACTGCTAAGCAGAAAAGGATCTATTGTAAATTTTGAGCTCGGAATTAAAGTTCCTTGAGTCCACCAGTGATCCCCTGACAAGATGGAAGGATCTTATTAAATCTCGCGTAATAAAGAAAGTGACAGGCAACATTGAAACATTTCCTATTGCATTTTATTGATATCAGCTGTTTATTTTTTATTTGAGTTTTAATTTATTAAATTCAGTTTGATTAAATGCAATGTTATCTGGCATTAAGAATTCACCTCATTAAAATTTATAACACACACACATACACAGACACACACACGATGATCCCCTGCTCAATAAATAAGCTAGTATATGACACTTATTCATTGGGTTTATACACATTAATAAATATCAAGAGTAGAGTTTCTTATATATTAATAGCAATTCTCTCTTAGTCCCTAATAATTCACTAATGATGACATTTCCATTCCATCACTTCAAGAAAGTCATATGCTTTATTGCATTCTGTGAAGGAGAAAAGTATTTAAGTTTTCTTGCAAAACATCCTTCATATTATTATATCATAGTTTGTACTTGGAAAGCCAACTTAAATATTTAGCAATCCATAAAAAGTACTAAAGTTAACATTTAATGAAACCATAATTTGAAGCCACTGATCAAGAAAACCAAAATAAAGCTTATATTAAATGTGATAATATATATATGACATACTTGAGTATAATATCATCCCAACATACTGAAATACATTGAACTGATTTGTAAGGAAAATAGATTGGATGAAAACATAGAAGTCCTAAATTATGTTTTTTTGAAATAACCTTTGATCTGCATGTGTGTTAAATTCCTACTAGTGCCATTATACACATGCAGTCTCTCTACTTCACATGCACACAAGATCCCAGCACTGTGTATATGCCATGTTCTTTATTTCTAATAAATATTGCTATTTCTGAGCCCAAAATCATCTCTCCAAGAAGCTCAGGCACACATCTCTTTGTTTGTAAAATACATATACATTTACAAAAGAGTGTTTTTCTTCATTTCTGTAAGGGGTGTAACTGTCTCAACATCTAAGCATATTTCGGTCATTTCCATTTAGTAACAAAACAATTTGTTGACAGTGCAATGAATATATGAGGGTTAGACATGGCCACCAGTTCACAAGTCTGAAAGCAGTGTAAATCTGGAAGGACTAGTTGTTTTCACCCCAAACTGTGTTATGTTACATATTCCCCGAGTCTGCTACTGTGGACAATTTGGAAGAAGATGATGGTATCTATCTACCTGTGCATATTTGTAATTTGATGTTGTGTCCTTCATTGCTATGTGTGTGTTACATGTGATACATAAGTGACAATATACAGTGAAACTGGGCTCCTATCTCTGTTTGTATGTTTTTCAATGATGCACTCAGCAATATTCAAACTATATGATGGTGATCTGGACAAGACAATCAAGTGATTGACATCATGAGCATTGATCCACCCAATTGGAACACAAGGACATGCATCAACCAAGTCAGCGAGCTCCTATCTCTGTTCGTTTGTTTGTTTGTTTGTGTTTGTTTGTTTTTCAAAGACCCACTCAGCAATATTCAAAACACATGATGGTGATCTGGACCATACAATCCAGTGATTGACATCATCAACATTGATCTACACAATTGGGACACAAGGACATGCATCAACCAAGTCAGGGAGGTCCTCTCTCTGTCCCTCCTTGAGACACATAACTTGCCAGTAGGTAAAGAAAGGTTTCAGCAGTGTTCTATGTTATCTGTCAGTGACTAATGTGACCCCATGTTTGGAGACGAGGTTGAACAACGACTGGTAAACAATGGCGGCTAGTCAACAAATGAATCCCTGCTTGCGATGTCTAAACTTACAACAGTACAACCAGACTACTGATGTTCTGGAAAACTCTTGCTGTTAACAGCAGAAATTACATCCATATCATTTACTCGATTATAAAATTCATATCATCATGAGCAATACAAATAGAACAAATGCCTGCTATCAAACAATCATTTGGGGCCGATGTGTGGTTGGGGATTATAATTGAAGACAAAATGCCTACTGCATTTCTTTTGACCAATGAAATAACATACATTTAATAGCATCTATAATAAATGTTGGATCTGGATGTTTACCTAACAATTTACTTTGGGGTGTAGAAATATGACAAAATTAGATTTTTCCTGTTTCATGGATTTCAAGTTTTTCTTTAAAACAAATTACAGCCAATGAAACAAGAGTCATCAGAAAGATGACATATCCCCCCGGCAGCTGTCTGTAAAGTAACCACTAGTAAATGTGCAATTCTGTATGTAATGAGTCAACAGTTGAATGTTCTTTTAGAAGCATACATTGTTTACCCACTGAATGGTTTTCTAATTCTGGCCCGGAAATGAACCCGTTCCCCAATAGAGTCTAGGTCCAACTTCTTTGCATAAAAATTGAAAAAAATCCCAAAATATCAAAAGGCACCACTTCAGTATGTGCCTGATAGATTTGCCAAGTTTCGATCAAATACACTGAATGGTTTTCGAAGCCTGCCCCGGAAACGAACCCCATCCCCAATTGAGTCTATGTCCAACTTCATTCCATAAAAATTGAAAAAAAATAAAAATTAGAAAAATCCCAAAATATCAAAAGGCACCACTTCAGTATGTGCCTAATAGATTTGCCAAGTTTCGATCAAATACACTGAATGGTTTTCGAATTCTGCCACGGAAAGGAACACCATCCCCAATTGAGTCTATGTCCAACTTCATTCCATAAAAATGGAAAAAAATAAAAATTAGAAAAATCCCAAAATACCAAAAGGCACCAATTCAGTATGTGCCTGATAGATTTGCCAAGTTTCGATCAAATACACTGAATGGTTTTCGAATTCTGCCACGGAAACGAACACCATCCCCAATTGAGTCTATGTCCAACTTCATTCCATAAAAATTTAAAAAAATAAAAATTAGAAAAATCCCAAAATATCAAAAGGCACCAATTCAGTATGTGCCTGATAGATTTGCCAAGTTTCAATCAAATACACTGAATGGTTTTCGAAGCCTGCCCCGGAAACGAACCCCATCCCCAATTGAGTCTATGTCCAACTTCATTCCATAAAAATTGAAAAAAAATAAAAATTAGAAAAATCCCAAAATATCAAAAGGCCCCACTTCAGTATGTGCCTAATAGATTTGCCAAGTTTCGATCAAATACACTGAATGGTTTTCGAATTCTGCCACGGAAACGAAACCCTATCCCAAATTGAGTCTATGTCCAACTTCATTCCATAAAAATGGAAAAAAATAAAAATTAGAAAAATCCCAAAATATCAAAAGGCACCAATTCAGTATGTGCCTGATAGATTTGCCAAGTTTCGATCAAATACACTGAATGGTTTTCGAAGCCTGCCCCGGAAACGAACACCATCCCCAATTGAGTCTATGTTCAACTTCATTCCATAAAAATATAAAAAAATTAAAATTAGAAAAATCCCAAAATATCAAAAGGCAGCACTTCAGTATGTGCCTGATAGATTTGCCAAGTTTCGATCAAATACACTGAATGGTTTTCGAATTCTGCCACGGAAACGAACCCCATCCCCAATTGAGTCTATGTCCAACTTCATTCCATAAAAATGGAAAAAAATAAAAATTAGAAAAATCCCAAAATATCAAAAGGCACCACTTCAGTATGTGCCTGATAGATTTGCCAAGTTTCGATCAAATACACTGAATGGTTTTCGAATTCTGCCACGGAAAGGAACACCATCCCCAATTGAGTCTTTGTCCAACTTCATTCCATAAAAATTTAAAAAAATAAAAATTAGAAAAATCCCAAAATACCAAAAGGCACCACTTCAGTATGTGCCTGATAGATTTGCCAAGTTTCGATCAAATACACTGAATGGTTTTCGAATTCTGCCACGGAAACGAACACCATCCCCAAATGAGTCTATGTCCAACTTCATTCCATAAAAATTGAAAAAAATAAAAATTAGAAAAATCCCAAAATACCAAAAAGGCACCACTTCAGTATGTGCCTGATAGATTTGCCAAGTTTCGATCAAATACACTGAATGGTTTTTCGAATTCTGCCCCGGAAAAAGAAATGATTACGGACGGACAGACGGACAGACGCATTATATGCCGGGGGGATAAAAAACTAAAATGTTTAGTCCCTTGAAGACAACAATTTGTTATCAGAGGGAGAATGTGTACAGCCAGGCAAATTATTTTCAAGATGGCCACGATGTCAATCAGACAAAAGTGATGGTAACACTGAGTGATAGAGAAGACAGGTGTTATGAATCCTCAAGGCATGTAAGATCCTGAGCTGAATGAGTTATGATTGGGACATATCCCTTGTGCACCCACATGTGAAGGACACACAACCAGAAACCATTAACATGTAAAAACAGACAAGGTACACAGTTAGTAATTATAGAAATAACCTTGTAAAGTAACAAAAGAACTCACTATATAGGACTAGGGTATTAAAACTTACTTGGTTGCTGGTGAGCTGTATCAATATCTTTGTGGTTTGATTCTGCAATGAAAGAATATTTAAACACTATCAATACACAGTGTCTGGTATCAATACAGAGTGTCTGGTATCAATACATCCTGTCTAGTATCAATACATACTGTCTGGTATCAATACACAGTGTCTGGTATCAATACATACTGTCAGGTATCAATACACAGTGTCTGGTATCAATACATCCAGTCTAGTATCAATACATACTGTCTGGTATCAATACATACTGTCTGGTATCAATACATACTGTCTGGTATCAATACATACTGTCTGGTAACAATACATACTGCTGGTATCAATACACAGTATCTGGTATCAATATATACTGTCTGGTAACAATAGATAATGTCTGGTATCAATACATACTGCCTGGTATAATACATACTGTGTGGTAACAATACATACTGTCTGGTATCAATGCATACTGTCTGGTATCAATACAAACTGTCTGGTATCAATACATCCTGTTTGGTATAAATACATACTGTCTGGTATCAATACATACTGTCTGGTGTCAATACAAACTGTCTGGTATCAATACAGAGTGTCTGGTATCAATACAGAGTGTCTAGTATCAATACATAATGTCTGGTGTCAATACATACTGTCTGGTATCAATACATACTGTCTGGTATCAAAACAGAGTATCTGGTATCAATAGCTCCTGTCTAGTATCAAGACATACTGTCTGGGATCAATACACAGTGGCTGGTATCAATACAGAGTGTCTGGTATCAATACATCCTGTCTAGTATCAATACATACTGTCTGGTAACAATACATACTGTCTGGTATCAATACACAGTGCCTGGTATGAATACAGAGTGTCTGGTATCAATACATCCTGTCTAGTATCAATATATACTGTCTGGTATCAATACACAGTGTCTGGTATCAATACAGGGTGTCTGGTATCAATAAATCCTGTCTAGTATCAATATATACTGTCTGGTATCAATACATACTGTCTGGTGTCAATACACAGTGTCTAGTATCAATACATACTGTCTGGTATCAATACATACTGTCTGGTGTCAATACACAGTGTCTAGTATCAATACATACTGTCTGGTATCAATACACAGTGTCTCGTATCAATACAGGGTGTCTGGTATCAATAAATCCTGTCTAGCATCAATAAATACTGTCTGGCAACAATACATACTGTCCTGTATCAATACATACTGTCTGGTATCAATACACAGTGCCTGGTATCAATACAGAGTGTCTGGTATCTATACACCCTGTCTAGTATCAATACATACTGTCTGGTATCAATACATACTGTCTGGTATCAATACATTCTGTCCGGTATCAACACAAACTGTCTGGTATCAATACATCCTGTTTGGTAACAATACATACTGTCTGGTATCAATGCATACTGTCTGGTATCAATACAAACTGTCTGGTATCAATGCATACTGTCTGGTATCAATACAAACTGTCTGGTATAAATACATCCTGTTTGGTATAAATACATACTGTCTGGTATCAATGCATACTGTCTGGTATCAATACAAACTGTCTGGTATCAATACATCCTGTTTGGTAACAATACATACTGTCTGGTATCAATACATACTGTCTGGTATCAATACAAACTGTCTGGTATCAATACATACTGTCTGGTGTCAATACACAGTGTCTGGTATCAATATATACTGTTTGGTAACAATAGATAATGTCTGGTATCAATACATACTGCCTGGTATCAATACACAGTACCTGGTATCAATACATACTGTGTGGTAACAATACATACTGTCTGGTATCAATGCATACTGTCTGGTATCAATACATACTGTGTGGTAACAATACATACTGTCTGGTATCAATACATACTGTCTGGTATCAATACAAACTGTCTGGTATCAATACATCCTGTTTGGTATAAATACATACTGTATGGTATCAATACATACTGTCTGGTGTCAATACACTGTGTCTGGTATCAATATATACTGTCTGGTAACAATAGATAATGTCTGGTATCAATACATACTGCCTGGTATCAATACACAGTACCTGGTATCAATACAAACTGTGTGGTAACAATACATACTGTCTGGTATCAATGCAAACTGTCTGGTATCAATACAGCGGCTCATAACAGTACACACTGCCTGGTATCAATACATACTGTCTGGTATCAACACATACTGTCTGGTAACAATACATACTGTCTAGTATCAATACATACTGTCTGGTATCAATACACAGCAGCTGGTAACAGTACATACTGTCTGGTATCATAACATACTGTCTGGTAACAATGCATAGTGGTTTGTATCAATGCATACTGTCTAATATAAATGCATACTGTCTGGTAACAATACATACTGTCTGGTAACAATACATACTGTCTGGTATCAATACAGAGTGTCTGGTATCAATACATCCTGTCGAGTATCAATACATACTGTCTAGTATCAATACACAGTGCCTGGTATCAATACAGAGTGTCTGGTATCAATACATCCTGTCTAGTCTCAATAAATACTGTCTGGTATCAATACATACTGTTTGGTATCAATACATACTGTCTGGTATCAATACAAACTGTCTGGTATCAATACATCCTGTTTGGTATAAATACAGTGTTTGGTAACAATACATACTGTCTGGTATCAATACACAGTGTCTGGTATCAATACATACTCTCTGGTATCAATGCATACTGTCTGGTATCAATACAGAGTGTGTGGTAACAATACAGAGTGTGTGGTAACAATACACAGTGTCTGGTAACAATACATACTGTCTGGTATCAATGCATACTGTCTGGTATCAATACACAGTGTCTGGTATCAATACACAGTGTCTGGTAACAATACATACTGTCTGGTATCAATGCATACTGTCTGGTATCAATGCATAATGTCTGGCATCAATGCATACTGTCTGGTTTCAATGCATACTGTCTGGTATCAATACACAGTGTCTGGTAACAATACATACTGTCTGGTATCAATGTATACTGTCTGGTATCAATACACAGTGTCTGGTAAGAATACAGAGTGTCTGGTATTAATGCATACTGTCTGGTATCAATACACAGTGTCTGGTAACAATACATACTGTCTGGTATCAATACACAGTGTCTGGTAACAATACATACTGTCTGGTATCAATACACAGTGTCTGGTATCAATACATACTGTCTGGTATCAATGCATACTTTCTAGTATCAATGGATACTGTCTGGTATCAATACAAAGTGTCTGGTAACAATACATACTGTCTGGTATCAATGCATACTGTCTAGTATCAATACATACTGTCTCGTATCAATACATACTGTCTGATATCCATACATACTGTCTAGTATCAATACATATTGTCTGGTATCGATACATACTGTCTGGTATCAATACATACTGTCTGGTATCAATACATACTGTCTGGTAACAATACATACTGTCCTGTATCAATACATACTGTCTGGTAACAATACACAGTGTCTGATATCAATACATACTGTCTGGTATCAATATACAGTGTCTGGTAACAATACATACTGTCTGGTATCAATGGAGACTGTCTGGTATCAATACAAAGTGTCTGGTAACAATACATACTGTCTGGTAACAATGCATAGTGGTTTGTATCAATGCATACTGTCTAATATAAATGCATACTGTCTGGTAACAATACATACTGTCTGGTAACAATACATACTGTCTGGTATCAATACAGAGTGTCTGGTATCAATACATCCTGTCGAGTATCAATACATACTGTCTAGTATCAATACACAGTGCCTGGTATCAATACAGAGTGTCTGGTATCAATACATCCTGTCTAGTCTCAATAAATACTGTCTGGTATCAATACATACTGTTTGGTATCAATACAAACTGTCTGGTATCAATACATCCTGTTTGGTATAAATACAGTGTTTGGTAACAATACATACTGTCTGGTATCAATACACAGTGCCTGGTATCAATACACAGTGTCTGGTATCAATACATACTCTCTGGTATCAATGCATACTGTCTGGTATCAATACAGAGTGTGTGGTAACAATACAGAGTGTGTGGTAACAATACACAGTGTCTGGTAACAATACATACTGTCTGGTATCAATGCATACTGTCTGGTATCAATACACAGTGTCTGGTATCAATACACAGTGTCTGGTAACAATACATACTGTCTGGTATCAATGCATACTGTCTGGTATCAATGCATAATGTCTGGTATCAATGCATACTGTCTGGTTTCAATGCACACTGTCTGGTATCAATACACAGTGTCTGGTAACAATACATACTGTCTGGTATCAATGTATACTGTCTGGTATCAATACACAGTGTCTGGTAAGAATACAGAGTGTCTGGTATTAATGCATACTGTCTGGTATCAATACACAGTGTCTGGTAACAATACATACTGTCTGGTATCAATACACAGTGTCTGGTAACAATACATACTGTCTGGTATCAATACACAGTGTCTGGTATCAATACATACTGTCTGGTATCAATGCATACTTTCTAGTATCAATGGATACTGTCTGGTATCAATACAAAGTGTCTGGTAACAATACATACTGTCTGGTATCAATGCATACTGTCTAGTATCAATACATACTGTCTCGTATCAATACATACTGTCTGATATCCATACATACTGTCTAGTATCAATACATATTGTCTGGTATCGATACATACTGTCTGGTATCAATACATACTGTCTGGTATCAATACATACTGTCTGGTAACAATACATACTGTCCTGTATCAATACATACTGTCTGGTAACAATACACAGTGTCTGACATCAATACATACTGTCTGGTATCAATATACAGTGTCTGGTAACAATACATACTGTCTGGTATCAATGGAGACTGTCTGGTATCAATACAAAGTGTCTGGTAACAATACATACTGTCTGGTATCAATGCATACTGTCTGGTATCAATACACAATGTCTGGTATCAATACATACTGTTTGACATCAATACATAATGTCTGGTATCAATATATACTGTCTGGTGTGAACACATACTGACTGGTATTCATAGAAATGTTTTGATTTTCAATACAAACTTTCCCAATACCAATACAAACTGTCTGGTATCAAGACAGAATATCTGGGTATCAATACAAACTGTCCAGGTATCAATACAAACTGTCCAGTATCAATACAAACACTCTGGGTATCAATACAAACTCTCTGGGTATCAATACAAACTCTCTGGGTATCAATACAAACTGTCCAGGTATTAATACAAACTGTTCAGGTATCAATACAAACACTCTGAGGATCAATTCAAACTCTCTGGGTATCAATACAAACTCTCTGGGTATCAATACAAACTGTCCAGGTATTAATACAAACTGTTCAGGTATCAATACAAACACTCTGAGGATCAATACAAACACTCTGGGTATCAATACAAACTGTCCAGGTATCAGTACAAACTGTCCAGGTATTAATACAAACTGTTCAGGTATCAATACAAACTGTCCAGGTATCAATACAAACTGTCCAGGTATCAATACAAACTGTCCAGGTATTAATACAAACTGTTCAGGTATCAATACAAACTGTCCAGGTATCAATACAAACACTCTGGGGATCAATACAAACTCTCTGGGTATCAATACAAACTCTCTAGGTATCAATACAAACTGCCCAGGTATCAATACAAACTGTCCAGGTATCAATACAAACTGTCCAGGTATTAATACAAACTGTTCAGGTATCAATACAAACTCTCTTGGGATCAATACAAACTGTCCAGGTATCAATACAAACTGTCCAGGTATTAATACAAACTGTTCAGGTATCAATTCAAACTCTCTTGGGATCAATACAAACTGTCCAGGTATCAATACAAGCTATCTGGGAAGCAATACAACTCAGCACAGCGAATTGCGGTGCCTTAGATGACTGGGCCACCCGTGCCCTTCCCACCCCATCCCAGTAGCCATGACCACTGCATAAACTACTGTATCAATACAAACACTCTGAGGATCAATACAAACTCTCTGGGTATCAATACAAACTCTCTGGGTATCAATACAAACTGTCCAGGTATCAATACAAACTCCTTGGGTATCAATACAAACTTCTTGGGTATCAAAACAAACTTTCCAGGTATCAATACAAGCTATCTGGGAAGCAATACAACTCAGCACAGCGAATTGCGGTGCCTTAGATGACTGGGCCACCCGTGCCCTTCCCACCCCATCACAGTAGCCATGACCACTGCATAAACTACTGTATACCTTGAGTCAGTTAAGTATCTATGATGTCTCACTTGACCCAAAAGACACTATTTTTATGCAAATGTCAAATGTCTTGAGTGATGATATCCACTTTTTTTTCCAATTCATTCATGTGATTTACACAAAAAGTGATCACTTTTGATACCATTCACATCTACCTATTAACAGGTGCTGGAATTCTTGATGAGGGTAATATAATAGAGTTTTCTTTTCCAAATTTTCTTTTTTCTGCCAAATATCTTGATAGATCATATTTTCTTTTAATATACATATATATTCAGATGGTTTACATTGCACTTTCTTGTGTGGCATACACTACTGAAATTGGATAATCATGGTTTCTGCAGCTGGATATTCCTTAAAAGAAATGTCCAAAGTAAACATTTCTTTTGTAATTTGAAGGCATCTGTACTTTCTTACAGGTGCATATGTCTCGATAGATGACAGATTAAATCTGAGTGTTATATTTTCCTTAACTGAGACTCCAGTTATTTCTATTTTCAAAAAATGTTTGAATTCAGAAGTGTGAATTTGAAATTTACACACAGTTCTATTTATGCTCATTTTCCGACCATTTCAATGGAAGTTTACTGGTATTCACTATATTAGCACATTATAGGCCTACATTGTGTCTGTTCAACTGTTACTAATAATAATATATAGACACATGTATAAACATATACCATGATATACATGTTAGTTTGTTCTGCAACATTGTTGCAGAGTGTATTACAATGGAAAAATAAAGCATGTGTAATAAAATGTGTCACACAATATGTGAATATTACTGGTTTCAGTTCCTTGACCTATATAGGCCTACATATGACAGTGTTCATTACCAGATGAGGTTCATTGGGACAACATTGTTCAACGTAATAGACACCTTCAACAAAAACTGAAATATGCATATGTAAACTTATACTAATACTTCATTGGGTGCTGGCAGGGTACAATAGCAGATGAACTGTCTTCTATCTCGTTTATTTGCAGACTATATTTCTCCTGTTCCATGAACACCACACATTATTGTCGTTATAACTCGATAATGAACTATTATCTGTGTCATTGTCCACAATATATCAGAAAATACTCTTAATGATTTACTTACATGTTATCTTGGTCTCCTATCGTTTTTAGTTCGCGTTAAACAGCGTGTGGTGTTGAATAACACCCTATGTAAAACACGTCGTCTGCATGAGTTTTGTCAACATTCATGTTTGCCATGCGAGGCGTTGGTGAATTGATTTGGCGATTGCGCTTGAGTTAAATGTTTAATTACTTGCTGTATGTGTCAAGTATGTAGCGTGTACTTGTTGTGATGTTTATGCACCGCTGATTTTGACTTTAGATACGTTTATTGGCTACTTTTTCTCATTTTTCCTCACTCACCGGGCACCTGCTAGACGGCTGCCATTTTCTATCCCACAATTCCGCTTCCGGTTGAGTCTGGTTAATTGAAGCATGCGCAACTCATTCCAATTAATTTTTGAATAATTAATTAGCGCAATAAAATATCCACTTTTCATTTACTGTTATTTTTAGCTGCCGTTTTGAATGCTTGCAAGTCGCCAGAGACGCTCGAGCTGTCGAGACAGAGAGGTGCGAATACCGGCAAACCTGACCTCCTAGCGATCCAGGGGGCTCGAAGCGGCAAACTTCAACCTGAAGAAATTAACAACGTGACGGATTTTGAGGCAAGTTTGACCTAGACCTAGCTTGCTCCACTCCATAGCTAACAGCACGCTTTCTAATTACTGGCTGTAATTAGTCTGTAAGTCGCCATGATCCACAACTAGCAGATCACACAGTGCGGCCTGGCTTTCACCGTAGGTCTTGTCGTATTCTTCTTTTCTTTCTGTCTTGCATTGAAGGGTAGATAGCATGTTTTTAATCGAGTTTGTATTGCAATTTGCGGCGATATCAATAACAATCGGATTGCGTATTCGGCTAGTCAATATTTCTTGTCGATGTCTGAGGCAGTCACATCTTTGTTATGCAATAGTGTTGCTTGCCGTGCGATAAGCATTGGTGGGAGTGTGTTAAAACCGCAACGGTTTAATACCTCTACTTTCCATTTCGTGTTTATTCACCGGTGTCGGCATCAAGGTATATTTTTCTTTTATTTCTCTATTACAATAACGTGATTGAACTGTATTGTCAGGTATTGTCTGCTTGTTCAGACATTTCGGTAGGTCTATTTTATTTTCTTGGTGGTCCGTGTAAAACCCATCCCATACGACGGGTTAATGGCATGCGATCGTTCAGTCATTGGAACCAGTTATAGTGATTGAATAATGTTCAAAAACGCGCGAAAGTGTTTCACACGCTTACATTGCATGCTGATTGCTTATGAATACATGTGCATGTTAGGTGTAAAGCTATGACACGGCGTCGAGGGGGAGGTCGTGGGGGGTCGGGGTTTGTGATTTTACGCGACCGGACAGAGAAATGGGACCTCGGCTGACCCCGCTTTCATCATAGGCCGATAATGTTACGAGGGATATACTCGAGGGAATTCCACACTGCTACCGTGTATTGCACAGAGATTTGGCTCACACGCGCGGTCAATGTGTTTCACGGGATCGTTTTGCTATGTGCTTTATGCGTGTAATACACACTGTGTGTTCTCCGCACGTGGAGTGCGCGTGGAGAGTATTGCATGTTTATTGCGGACAAATAGAAATGCGAGGCTCAGGTCGTAATGGGTTTGTACTGTAAGAATTCTTTACTTACACAGGGTACTTGACGGTATAACGGTTTTGTCTGATTTGTCGTGTCGATATATAATAAGAATAATTTTGAAAATAAGATAAATCTGATTATTATCAAATATAAGTAATTCGTGTGCTTTGTTGGTTGTAAAATGTATGTACAATATTAATTAGTTTTTCACATCATGTGTTTTGAGGATTCAAAATATCATGTCAAGTGGAAGTAAAAAAATTTATATTTGCTTCTCAAAGACTAGTAATTACTCAAATTGTCATGTATTTTTCAAAGAAAATATGAGAAAAGAGATTTTCATTATTTTATCAAATTGCACTTTTTTCGCAATCTCTCTTTGACATAGGTGAAATATACAGAAATAGATCATGGAAATGCTATATTGAGAGCTACAGTTCATGCAAATTATAGGTGTAAAACACAGACTTGGGAAGTATTATATTATTTATGTCTCAACAATATCCATGTTTTGTCCAACACACAAGAAAACAGAAACAATGTTTAGATTTATGTACTTTGCGATTTTTTTGTAATAGAGATTTGCTTCAGCTCTAGTCTAAGTTTTTATATGATGTTCTAATAAAAGTAGCAATTTAAATGAATTGAGCTTTTCAATATTTTGGGTTGTATTGCTGAAAACAGAATTAACTCAACTAAGGAAAATGTGAGGGGTGCTGAATTTATCAGACAGTATGAAGAGTAAACACAAATATGGTATTTGCTTGATTTTGGGAATCACAATACCTGCTTAATGGTACTGAATCACAACACTTGCTTGATGGTACAGCATCCCAGTATTTGCTTAATGGTACTGAATCGCAACACTTGCTTAATGGTACTGAATCACAACACTTGCTTAATGGTACTGAATCACAACACCTGCTTAATGGTACTGAATCACAACACTTGCTTAATGGTACTGAATCACAACACCTGCTTGATGGTACAGCATCCCAGTATTTGCTTAATGGTACTGAATCGCAACACTTGCTTAATGGTACTGAATCGCAACACTTGCTTAATGGTACTGAATCACAACACTTGCTTAATGGTACTGAATCACAACACCTGCTTAATGGTACAGCATCCCAGTATTTGCTTAATGGTACTGAATCGCAACACTTGCTTAATGGTACTGAATCACAACACTTGCTTAATGGTACTGAATCACAACACCTGCTTGATGGTACAGCATCCCAGTATTTGCTTAATGGTACTGAATCACAACACTTGCTTGATGGTACAGCATCCCAGTATTTGCCTAATTGTACTGAATCACAACACTTGCTTGATGGTACAGCATTCCAGTATTTGCTTAATGGTACTGAATCACAACACTTGCTTGATGGTACAGCATCCCAGTATTTGCTTAATGGTACTGAATCACAACACTTGCTTGATGGTACAGCATCCCAGTATTTGCTTAATGGCACTGAATCACAACACTTGCTTGATGGTACAGCATCCCAATACTTGCTTGATGGTACAGCATCCCAGTATTTGCCTAATTGTACTGAATCACAACACTTGCTTGATGGTACAGCATCCCAATACTTGCTTGATGGTACAGCATCCCAGTATTTGCCTAATTGTACTGAATCACAACACTTGCTTGATGGTACAGCATCCCAGTATTTGCTTGATGGTACAGCATCCTAATACTTGCTTGATGGTACTGAATCACAACACTTGCTTGATGGTACAGCATCCCAGTATTTGCCTAATTGTACTGAATCACAACACTTGCTTGATGGTACAGCATTCCAGTATTTGCTTAATGGTACTGAATCACAACACTTGCTTGATGGTACAGCATCCCAGTATTTGCCTAATTGTACTGAATCACAACACTTGCTTGATGGTACAGCATCCCAGTATTTGCTTGATGGTACAGCATCCTAATACTTGCTTGATGGTACAGCATCCCAGTATTTGCTTAATTGTACTGAATCACAACACTTGCTTGATGGTACAGCATCCCAGTATTTGCTTAATTGTACTGAATCACAACACTTGCTTGAGGGTACAGCATCCCAGTATTTGCTTAATGGTACTGAATCACAATTCTTGCTTGATGGTACAGCATCCCAGTATTTGCTTGATGGGACTGAATCACAACACTTGCTTGATGGTACAACATCCCAGTATTTGCTTGATGGTACTGAATCACAACTCTTGCTTGATGGTACAGCATCCAAGTATTTGCTTAATGGCACTGAATCACAACACTTGCTTGATGGTACAGCATCCCAGTATTTGCCTAATGGTACTGAATCACAAAACTTGCTTGATGGTACAGCATCCCAGTATTTGCTTAATTGTACTGAATCACAACACTTGCTTGATGGTACAGAGTCCAAGTATTTGCTTAATGGTACTGAATCACAACACTTGCTTGATGGTACAGCATCCCAATACTTGCTTGATGGTACAGCATCCCAGTATTTGCTTGATGTGACTTAATCACAATACTTACTTGATGGTACAGCATTCCAGTATTTGCTTAATGGTACTGAATAACAACACTTGCTTGATGGTACAGCATCCCAATACTTGCTTGATGGTACAGCATCCCAGTATTTGCTTGATGTGACTTAATCACAATACTTACTTGATGGTACAGCATCCCAGTATTTGCTGAATGGTACTGAATCACAACACTTGCTTGATGGTACAGCATCCCAGTATTTGCTTAATGGTACTGAATCACAACACTTGCTTGATGGTACAGCATCCCAGTATTTGTCTAACGGTACTGAATCACAAAACTTGCTTGATGGTACAGCATCCCAGTATTTGCTTGATGTGACTTAATCACAACACTTGCTTAAGGGTACAGCATCCCAGTATTTGCTTGATGTGACTTAATCACAACACTTGCTTGATGGTACAGCTTCCCAGTATTTGCTTGATGGTACTGAATCACTACACTTGCTTGATGGTACAGCATCCCAGTATTTGCTTGATGGGACTTAATCACAACACTTGCTTGAGGGTACAGCATCCCAGTATTTGCTTGATGGTACTGAATCACAACACTTGCTTGATGGTACAGCATCCAAGTATTTGCTTAATGGTACTGAATCACAACACTTGCTTGATGTGAAATGATACAGCGGGGTAGCGATGCGATATGCATCACGCTTTGCCTTGTGCTTATTATAGATGGGTAATAGGGGTGAAACGATACAGCGAGGTAGCGATACGATATGCATCACTTTACATAGGTCATGATATGATACATATTGAGAACGCATATTTACGTCAAATCGTGTGGAACCTTCTTGACTTATCTATATTTCAGAGCAGGTTCAAAATTGAGTAAGTGAGTAATCTGGTTTTACGCTGCTTTTTGCAATATTCCAGCAATATCACTGCGAGGGGCACAGTCATGGCCTTCACACATTGTACCCATGTGGGGAATCGAACCAAGGCCTTTAATAGTGTCAAGCGAATACTTTGACTCTACCCCACGAAGGAAAAGCTAGCTGTAGGCACATGTTTGTAGCGGCTATTTTTATGAGTGAACTTGAAAAGCTACTTACAACACATTTTACTGTATGTGACTGACAAACACTAGGGGTCATGAAATGAGAAGTAAGTAATTTATTTAATCAAGTGTATTGTTTTGTATTTGATACTGTAAAAATAATATCATGTTGCATATCATCTCAAGAAAACTCACGATGCACCCATGCACTGATATATCGTTTCACCCGCAATTGGGAATCCTCTTTTGAATCGAAATATATTGTTTAAATGAATAAATCTGTCATGGACTGTCCAAACATCGACTGTACTTCTTATAAGAACTGAGATATCACATAAATCTTTCCCACATGCTTCAGTTTCCATCTTTACCACAGCAATACACTTGTGCTCCATGTGGCCTCGCAGGTTTAATCATGCATTCTTAATTTTAATCACTCAAAGTTTTTAGACATTGGAATATTTTGCATCTAGAAAAATCCTGCCAACACCTCATTTTGTCTTTGAATCAGTTCATGTCAAATATTTATATGAACATGATAAAAGAACAAATACTAACATTACAAAAATATTTAATTCTGACAATGATTCACTTACTTGAAGTTTTATGTT